AATATTTGAAAATTTTTTTTTAAAATTATAAAATTTTATAAAAATCGTAATTTATTTTTTTATATATTTTAATATATATATATTATTTGAATTATATATATAGATTTATAAATCACTGTGTATAATAATAATCTTATTAGGAATTATCTGCACACTTAAAAGTGACAGATATTCTACTTAAAATTCATATGACATTCCTGTTTTCGTCGTAGTTGTGAATCAAATAAATTATTTTCGTTTTATTCTTTGACAGATTTCCTCTGATGTATCCCGATTTACATAGATATGTAATACCTGCATAGAAATTCGCTGATCGATTATGTATTCATTCATAATAAAGTTGCGCATATTGAAATTCTACAAGCATTCTTATGGTATAAATTCTTTGAAAAACTTTTTCCTGATTTTTTATTATATATACAATTTTAAATTCACAATATAAATATTTATATTAGAATAATAGTTTATGGATTAAAATTTAGAATTTTTTTATTTATTTAAATAAAATTTTATATATTCTTTCGTTTAAGTAAAGTATCGACATATTGTATAATTATATTTATATACTACATTTATTTTTTTATGTTTATAAATATTAATATTTAATTGACTAGAATGATGTATCAGTTATTTTTAAATGTTCCTATTCTTGAATGCAAAAACCACATTCAATCCATCATAAAATGATGTTACATTTTGCGGTTTTGAAAAAGTACAAAGAACAACTATATATACATTATATATACATACTTACATCGGTAATATTGCTTTTGAAAGCGTAATGCGAATGCACTAACCGATGAAGATGCTTCAAATCTATTCGTGATTCGTCGATTTTCAAATGAAGATACGCCAAACAATATTGTCCTTGAATTCCTTCGCTTCCCTGTATTCCGATACATTCGTCGAAGTCGCCAAACTGATTGATATTTCCGTTCAAGAGTCCAGATGGTATTTTCGCTGTTGCATCGTACACTTCAAAGAAAAATATAGTTATATTAAATACAATATTAGAATCAGCGAATCCATATTATTTTTGTGAAATATATATTCTTATAATTATATATAGATATCAATATAAAAGTAATATTATCAATATTTAACAATATAAGAAAAATTATTGAAAAAATTTTGGAATTGAGAAATACATAAAAGAGAATTCATTGAAATTTAGTCTTCTCATGAATAATGTGGTTTTCTTAAGAATGATGTAACGAAATGATAAAACTGCATAAAGATACGTGCTTATTTGTGTTTAGTAATTTGTCGGTCAAATTTTTATTCGAAATATGACAATAAAGCACAGGTGAAAGTACAAATTGAAAATTGATGTTCAGAGAAAATTTACGATATATACGGGAGTGAAAAAAATATTATTGAAAAATATGAATACTAAATATACATATACTTTTTTTTTTACTATTTTTTTGATTTAATAATACTATGAGCAATTTTTATTATAGGATTTATTATGTAGGATAATAAGGATTATACTTACTTTTAAGAGCCCATAAAGTGAATTTAGCGAGTTCCCTATGAAAAATTTCGGAATGTTTTTTGCATTGAGGACTTACTCGTCCAACACCAGGATTATAAGCTGGAAGGATTTGTAACAATCTTTTTGCTTCCCGGTCGATTTCCTCAGAGAAATCATCTAAAAAACAAATTATTGATAAGATTGAATAGTATACATATTTTAACGACAAAATTAACTATAAAAAAATTCACCTCTGAAGAGATTAGAAAGAAGAATAAGAGTAGTCCAAATTTAGTGATTGAAAGTTTTGACGAAAATTTCAACATAAAATCAAGATCGAGACAAGGTCAATTCAAGAAAGACTTTCACTCCCGTGGAGTTTGTCTCGAGGATACAGGTGTATTGGAATGAAGTAACATGTTTCCTACGTGTTTTGCGTACGTACGAATACAAGATTTCAATGCAAAAAGAAAATTTTAATACGGTCGACAGACGTTGATATGTTGCT